ACCCACATGGTGTGGCAGACCTCTCCTGACCCGCCCGCTGCTCCCCTCAGCAGTGTACTTCGTAGATCTGCCTGCTCTGCTCCCTGCTCTGTCTCTGGTGAATCCTCTCATCCTCTGCATCTCTGGCCTGTACCCCAAGTTCTGTATGAATAAATAAAATCTTTAAAAAAAAAATTAAAAACCTCTCCTTATCCCTAAGACTCCTCTGACGTCTCGCTGCCTTAGCATTCCGTTCTGACAAGGGAAACCTCAGGATGAACTGGAGTGACATCTATGATATGCAGAGAGCACTTACACAAAAATGACCATATTTGGTGCTACTTGTCCCCTCCCTGTCATGCTATAGCCCAGGTGACCACAGATTAGTATCCAGTCCCAAGGCAGCCACCGGCGGGCCAGTGACCCATCAGGAGGCCCCTGACCAAACTGATCAAAGCTTCTCCTTCCCAAGAGAGCGCCTAACAGATGCTGTAGGTTGGCCAGGCAGGGCATTTCCAGGCCCCTTGTCCACTGCCTGCTTCAACCCCAGAGACAAGGGAGGCAGGGACGAACTAGTGCAGCTGGGGTGGCCAGATGACCCGGTTTGGACTTAATACTATAAACAAAGCTTCTGGGAGCGCTACAGTCTTGTGACAACAACGGACGAACATACTCCTTTGTCTTTCACTCACAGCTTTCTCTATATTTCTTCTCTGAAAGCAAAGGTGGTCGCAGAACAAGTCTGACACCAAAGGTCAAGATACCAAAAATGGCCGCGTGGAAGACTCAGCCTACAGATGCGAGCAAAGCACAAATTCTGTTTGCTTAAGCCACTGTCGCTGTCGTCTGTTACTCGCAGCCAAAAGCGCTGACTGATAGAATTACTCTGTGAAGAACAGAGAAGAATAGGGGAACTGGGAGCTGCTGGCATACCAGGCAAGTGTCGGATACCACATCTCACCTGGGCAACAATGTGACAGTTGCCCAAACAGTTTTGTAGTTTTTTACCCGGAGTCCTCTCTTTCTCACTTACCTATGCGAGATCTGAGTTTCAATTTCAATTCCACCACTTACTAGCTGGGTAACCTCAAATATGATACTTCTCCTCTCTGAGCCTCAGTTTACTTGTCTGTAAAATAAGAACAGCAGTAGTACCTATGTCTCATAGGAGCCTTATGAAAAGTAAATGAGATAATGTATGGAAGCCACACAGTGTACTACATGAAGCAAACACACAGTGTGGGAATAAGGAGCCTTTCGCTGAAATAACCAAGCATTTTCTGGGAAAGGCAACAATGACTGGTGATGAATAGTCCACCTTGGAGCCAGTCTGCCTAGGCTTATTCCAGTTCCTCTGTCCTCAAACCTTCAGCATTCCCTCTCTACCCCTTGCTCTTTATGGGTAACTCATGTCTTACTTCACTGAGAGAAAAACAGAAAGACATGCTTTCACACCAAGTCCACTTTTCTACCCAATTGCCTTCCTCCCTGCGTTATCAATACACGGGATGGGTTGTTCGCCTGACTCTCACTGCCACATTTACCTTTATTTTTTTCCACCTGTCCCATCGAGTGACAGCTGCCACTGGCACAGTCCCAGGGCAAGTATGCACTCAAGGGTTTGCTCTTAGCACCAGCTACCAAATCCTAGCCCCACTGCCTGGGGGAGGACCTGTGAAAGTGCTAGTCCATTCACACTGAACAACCTTGTAATTACAATCCCCCCTCTCCTGTACCAATTTTCCTTTCTAGTAGGTAATAAAACATGTCATTAACATTTTTGTTAAAACAAAAACAAAAGCCATCTTCAAGTAGCCCACTATTTCTCTGCATCCATTCACAGAAAAAACCCTCAAAAGTTGTTGGCATTAAGTGTCCACTCCCTCTCCTGCCCTCAAATACTCTCCATGAGGACTTTGCCCTCACCCTCAACCCACCAAAAAAAACACAAACCATATACCAAGGCGAGCAGCATGTGATAGTTCACGTCACCCTCTGGGAATACTGTCTCCCCTTGGTTTCCATGACTACACTTTCCCGGTATTCCTCCCACCTTACTGGTGACTCTTCCTCTTTTCTCACAGGTGTTAGACCACCATGCTTGGAGACACCCCTTTTAACTCCTGTTCCCTTGACCCTTTATCTTTCACAGGACAAATGTTACCCTAATGTATCTCTAGAACATCTAAATCTGTCTTGGTGCCTAGAGGACCAGAATCAACACAACTGCCATCACGCTGGTCCAAGGTATAACAAGCTCTAACTTTGATTTTGTTTTTTTTTTTAAAGATTTATTTTTATTTATGTATGTGTACAAGATCTGGGATGTAGGCCAGAGGTACAGGAGATATGAGGACTCACCAGAGTGGGGAGCAGTAGGCAAGACAGGAGAGGTCTGCTGCGCCATGTGGGTCAACTCCCTGGTTGGGGATTGAACTCATGCCGTGGTGGCTGGCAAAGGCTTCACAGGATTGAGATTTTAACCTTTGTGCCAACAGGGAGGCCCCGACTCTAACTTTGATTATAGACACTCCAATTGATCTCCTTGCTTCCAATTTTGCCTCGGTCTTTCCATGACAGTCTAATCTCCAAGTGGAAGCCTGGGGCACCCTACAGTAAGTCTCATCATGGCACTCTGCTCAAAATCCTCTGGTGACATTTCATCATACTTAGGACAAAATCCAAAGTCCTCACCATGACTTAATAAGGCTCTCTGAAGGCGCTCCACTACCTTCAGCCGTCTCCAGCCACATTTACCTGCTCCAGCCACACTGACCTCTGCTGTTTCTGTGCCAAGCACACTCAGAGTTAAGGACTCTGCAGTGTCTTCCCCGACAGTCCGTGGCGCCTAACCTCACTTTATTCAGAGCTCTGCTAAATGCCACCTCATCAGAGGATATGTCCCTAACCACACTATGCCACACAGCACCTCCCTCGCTTTCAGCAGGGTGAGTTTGCCCCCTGTGCACATCAGGCAACATGTGGAGACATTTTGGTTGTCATGACTGAGGGGTTCTATCTCTCACTGATGGACAGAGGTCAGGGAAGCGGCCAAAAATGTCAGTGGTGCCAAGGTTGAAAATCACTGTTCTATTCCCTTTCACATTTTCCTTGCCACCACGTGCTGTGGCCTGACAGCCTACTGTGTACCCACACACGTGTCTGTTTCCCACTAGCACGGGGCTCTGCAAGGTTTCCTTGCTCACCACTCAGAATGCCTGGACTATGCTAATACCCAGCAGTCATTTGTTAAGTGAACTAACAAACAAGCAACCAGGCTTTTTGAGCTTGTATTTTGTTTCAGTTCATGCTAACCATTTTATAGACACCATGTGAAACCCACAACTGTTGCTCTGAGGTGCCCATAACCATGCCCCCGATAGATGAGGCTCAGCAAGGTTACGGAACTTGTCTAAAGTCAGTTAAAAAAAAAAAAATTTATTTATGCATACAGAACTGGGGTACAGGCCAGAGGTACAGGGGCGGTGAAAGGCTTTACCAGAGACAGAGTGGGGAGCAGAATAGGCAAATCAACGAAGTACACTGCTGAGAGGAGCAGCGAGTGGGTCAGGAGAGGTCTGCCATGCTGTGTGGGTCACCTCCAGGGCCAGGGATCGAATTCACAATGAAGCGGCTGTGGCTTGTGCAGTGCTGCATCCTAACCCGCTGTGCCACCAGAGAGGGCCCTTTTTTCTTTTTTTAAAAAAAGATTTACTTATTACGCATACAAGACCTGGACAAGGCCTTTGACAAGGCCAAAGGTACAGGGGATAAGAGGATTCATCAGAGACTGTAGGGAACAGAACAGGTGGACTGACTGAAACATACTACCGAGGGGAGCAGCAGGCAAGACAGC